TGTACAGAGGCAACTAGGGATGGAGGCGTGGAGACTGAAACCAGCTGTCCCCGCTGGAATACGTGGGCTCTGCCACTGTCTCTGGCATACATACCACTTACCTCCCTGTGCCTGTTTCTTCATCTGTAATAAAACCTGCCTCAAAGAGTTATTGGGAAAGAACCGTGTCTGATAAGTTGAGAGTGCTATTATTTTTAATAGTAGGCTGTCACTTGCCCCACTCATGAGCTAGAATCCCTTCCTGCAAAACTATAGACTTGTTTCTGGGGCTGGGGTCTGACTCTGCAATTCCCTTAAAGGAGCAGAGTGTGAGCAGAAGACAGTGGAGGGCTCCCTGGGTGTGCCCTTATTTTCTTGGGTGCTACCACTGCAGGAACTGGGCCAGAAGGCAGTCACCTGGTCTGCTGTTGAGCAGCTCAGACCTCCTGTCTGGGCCTCTGTTTTATTGTGTGTAAAAGGAAATAACAGGGCTGGAAGTATAGCCCACTGGTAGAATGCTTGCCTGGCATGCAGAGGCCCTGAGTTCCATCTCCAGTACCATAAATAAATAAATAAATAAATAAATAACCTGTCTTATTCCCTATCTTTTATTCACTCATTAAATGCATTTATCAAGCACCCTTATGAACCAGCCACCATACTGGGGGACTCTGGGAACATAATATTGAAGAAAATAGACAAAGTCCTCACTAGGCCTGGCAGTTTCTAGAATGGTAGGGGAGATATAATTGATGGAATTGATTGGTCTCACCAACTGATGTAAAACTGAAATCGAGGCAAATATTTTAAAGAAGTGGTGGGAGGCTCCAAGGGTGATCATTCAGAGGCCTGATCAGAATCAGGGAAGGCCTTCCTCTGACAACTAACAGGACAGCTGAATGCATGGTTGTCTGGAGGCAGGCCCTGCACAAGTTATGGCTCCAAGCACATCTGATTCTTGGGGTGGAAGGTGACTCCGTTTCTAGCCACCATGCCCATGCGTGCCTGGGCTTTCTTGACTATCCTCATCTCTCCTGGGCCAGAGTCTGAGGCTCAGACTAATGGCTAGGTACTGATGCCCCGCTACCTTCCATGGACTTCCAGACAATTCCACATGAAACATTCAAATCTCTGGGTGCCTTTTGTCACCCCCACACACCTACTCAAATCTTAGTCTAGTGAGGTCAACTAAAGAGAGGAAGGGGCGCCATAATTGCTGCATTAAGATGAACCATTTCTCTGGCTTGGTGGGAAGAAGTCTGGTGGTCCACTAGCAATGTCTGCCATGGGTTCAGGGGTGGTAAGTCCTGGGCACTCAAAACTGTGTTGTAGGACTGGGGCTGTGGCTTAGCGGTAGAGCTTGCCTTGCACGTGGGAGGCCCTGGGTTCGATCCTCAGCACCACAAAAAATAAACAAAATAAAGGTATGTGTCCATCTACAACTAAAAAGATTAAAAACAAAACAAAACTCTGTTGTCTAAACTGGGAGCAGTGGCGCAGGCCTGTAATCCCAGCGACTCAGCAGGCTAGGCAGGAGGATTGAGAGTTCAAGGCCAGCCTCAGGAACAGTGAGGCACTAAGCAACTCAGTGAGACCCTGTCTCTAAATAAAATACAAGATAGGGCTGGGGATGTGGCCCAGTGGTTGAGTATCAACCTTGTTGTCTAATCCTGGATAGGTAAACAGGTGCTCTGTAAGCTTTGAGAGGCTTTGGGAAGTGCCTGGAAGCTTTTTCCTAGGGGACACTGGAACAAGGAACATGGATTCCTCACTCTAATGGCAACTATGTCAGCCTGCACCCAATCTGAGCTTTCTTTCCAGAAGTAGCCAGTCACACTTCCAGTTTCTGTTTTAGGATACAAAGAGGAAGAGAGGGGCAAGCAGGAGGGAAAGCCATTTCCTACTTTGAGTTTTGCTTCTCATGTATCAGCCCTAAAAACCAGATCAGCATCCATTTCAGTATGGACTAAGGGTGTGTTCATAGCACTGAGTGGGAGTTACAACTATGTCCCTGTCACTGTGAGACTTTGGCCAAGTCCCTGTCTGACCTCAATTTGCTCATCTATGAAATAATTTTTAGTCTTGTGTTTCCTTGTCGTAAAAATAGAGCAATAATACCTACCTGTCAGGAGCTGCCACATAGGAGCTGAAAACCCTTAGCCCTGAGAGATGGAAATGTGGAGACTGGTTTCTGTTGTGTGGGGAAACAGGTGGATCCCATCTGCGCTGCAGGGGAGTAAGGCTTTTGGAGTGGGTGTTACCCAGTGGGAGTGGGCTGCCTTCTTGTTCCTTTGTAATACTACCCCTGATCTTTTTTGGATGGAATGTTCTATCCAGCAGCTCCTCTCAATAAATAGGGATTCAGGACACGCCCTCACTCTCTCTCCAGCCTCCAGTGTTTTTCCCTTCACTCCCTTGTGGGAGCTTAGAGCTGGAGGTGGAGAAGCTGCCCTGAATGGCCCTGAGAAAGGTATTTTCTGTGTGATTCATTTGTGCCAGCCCAATTCACCTGAGTGACCCTGGTTTCGTAGTCTGTGCTGGACAGGGGCTACACCTACCCACAGGGTGGCTGTTAACATCAAATGAAAAATATGTGTAGCTGGGAGCTGCATGTGGCGGTGTCCAGGTGCCAGAGATGGTGGTTGCTATTGAACTGTGCTTGTGATGAGAAGAGATTTCACCACAAGGAAGCCAGGCTGTCCTGGGTGAGAGGAACAGCTGGGCCTCAGAGAAATGCTGTCCAGAATCCAGAAACACACAGGGATGGAGGTCACTCCCCATCATGTACTCCTTAGGTGGGCTTCCCTGAGTTGCTTAGCATCTTGCTTTTGCTGAGGCTGGCTTTGAACTCATGATCCTCCTGCCAAAGACTTCCAAGTCACTGGGATTCAGAAGTGCATCCCCATACCTGGTTTTACTCCATTTTGAACAATGTAGAATCTTAAAATCATTTAACTTCATTAAGCACCTGCTGTCTTTTGTGCTTTTGCTCTCTTACATTTTACTTCCATGTGTTTTTTTTTTATATATCTTTATTTTTTATTTATTTTTAGTGTGGTGCTAAGGCTCAAATTCAGGGCCTCGCACGTGCTAGGCGAGCGCTTTACCACTGAGCCACAATCCCAGTGTATTTTGAATCCCATGTTAAAATTATTGCTGGTTTAAACTGTTGATATTTATCTACCTATTTGCTTTATTCAGTGCTCTTTATTCTTCTCTTCTATGCTACCATCTTCCTTTGGCCTAAAGACTGAATTCCTTTTCCTTTTTCTTATGATGT